AACTGGGTTTTTTCACACATACACAAAAACAATCTTTTCATTTCGAATTTCATAGAACAACTGAAGCATGTAGATTTGGATGAAGTGCTTCTTCCGTATTTGTGCGATTTTTTCCTATTTCCGCGGCGTTTCGTAGTTTTTCAAAGACTTAAAAGTTTTCCAACGCGACGTTCCCTTTGAAAGTTATTTAACTTGGACCCAAATGAGTACAGTTGCCTGTTTCGTGAGTTTTCTCTGTCTTAGATACCTAAACAATCTTGTCACAATACTCCTGTAGGTACAATATGGATTTCCCCTAGTGACGAACTTTCGCCAGAGAGCAATAGCACGTTCTTCACAATGAATTATACTCAATGTTCGACATCCTTTAGGTTTTATTTTGATGCTTAACTTGCAAATGTTGTGAGTATTTATAATGTCGTACTTTCCTTCCTGCAAAACCCAAACAAACAATATAGACACGAAATATAAATGTATTTTACCGTATTTATTTCCGAAAAATGTATGTAAATCATACTGTTCATTTACGAGGACAATTTCTATCATTTGTACATGCTTCAGTTGTTCTATGAAATTCGAAATGAAAAGATTGTTTTTGTGTATGTGTGAAAAAACCCAGTTTCAAAAGTCATGGTGGTGCAATAGCTGTCTGTTTTTCATTTTATGCTCTCTCTCTTTTCTGTTTAAAGCGTATGTTTGTTCTGATTTTCTCTTCTTAATTCTACAGAGTAAAATAGAATTTTAGAAGAAAAAAACAGGTTATTGACAGTAGGAAGAACAGAAAAAAAGATCAGTAGCAAAGACCAGTGTGAACGGCTCGTACGCACAACAGCAATTCAAGAGGAGTAAGTTTCGAAAATGGCTTAACTTTGCAGAGTAACCGCAGGGAAGAGAATCCGTGAGCTGCACTCTAGAAAAAAATCCGACTTATTCTATCCGCCTTACTCCTGTATTGGTCTAACTTTCTTTCTTCCGTCTTATTTGAAGACAGACAAATTTATCAGTCTTATTTGTAAGGCCGAAGAAAGAGGGCTTATTTTTATTGTCTAAGGGATGAGAAATCATCCATCTCTTTTGTTCTGCATTCACTATTTGTATATAAAGAACAGACAATTTAATGAAAATACACTAGGAACTTTTCCATTTTTCTCTTATAGAATAGTGACAATAGCTAGACCGAAAATATTGATCCATTCTCATGAGATTAGATCATGCGTGATCTAATTTTAAAATTCGAAATGTTACGGAAAACAAGACAGATAAATTTGTCGGTCTTAAAATAAGACACCATGAGTCGGTTGACGATTAGTCGCATACATGGGTCTTAAATTAAGACGGTTCTATCCGTCTTATTTTAACCCATGTATGCGAGTAATCGTCAACCGACTCATGGTGTCTTATTTTAAGACACATTTTTTTATAGCGTGAGCATTTAAGTTTACAGATCTGTTGTGGCATTGTGCATCACGTTATCGTACAGTCGACATTCCTTAGTAAGACTTGAGAAGTCTGTTTCCCTCTAGCAAAGGTATCGGTACATTAGTGGAAACTCCGCCTCATATATATTTCCAAACTACTACAAGTACAATAACCTCGTTATCAAGTTCCTATGGCATTGAAGATGCCGGTACGGTACCGATGTCATTAACAAATTCTTCGCTTGATTTTGTTGTACTGAGTGAAGCTACAAACAGTTTGTCCGTTACCCTCGTTGCTGTTATTCTCGCACCTCAAATTTCGGACCTTCTCAGTGTTGATGAATCAAAAGCTGAACAACTGTTGGCAAAAGGTCGTCAAGCATTGATTGATTTTCAAAATGACATTGCACCAACTGTTTACACTGAACAAATGAGTGAGGACAGTGAACTTTTCAAACTGTTGAAACAGCACTTTGAATAACAATGGCACTCGACGTCTGAAGAGTGGTTTCAGACGTTTCTAAATGAACAAAAACTAGCTGCACCAGATCTGTACGATCAAATTCTAACACGTACATCAGAATATGGAGTGAAATACCAGAAATACGATCCATTGCTTTCATTGGTTGTACAATTTATTTTTGAGTTTGATGATGAGACAATAAATACACTGTTTGATGGTATTTTAAAAACACTAGCTACGTTCGGTAAAGAAGGTTTGAAGCGATGTGTCAAAAATCTCGTGCCAGCTGTGATGGAACAACAGCTAGCCAATGATTCAACTTCACTGACTATGGCTTTGCAACGCTATTATCGACAACCGTTAGAAGATTTATTGAAGAAAAGTAAAATTCCAGATCGTCATAACCTTTTCAATACTGCTCTAACATGTGTCGTTAATAGTGGCTGGTGTCAAGGATTAAATGATCCAAAAGTTCGAAATTTAGTTGCGGTTAATAAACTAACTGATTTGAAAGACACATTGGAACAGTATATGACTGAAAACAATATGGCTGCCGCAGAAGTTTGTCCAGACAGCAGCAGTGCAAAGGTTTCAACAAACGAAGCGCTTCCCTCGGTAACGACTACTATCACGTCAACCACAGACAAATCACCAGTACTCACTCACACGGCGGCAGCATTAGAGCCTGATCAAACAGCCTTAAAGCAAATAGTTGCTGCAGATGAATCAGCAAAAAAAAAGGTAAGCACTGGAGTTACGAACGATAAAAATTTTGGATAGTTTTGGTTCCTCTGCTGCAGACAAATTCTAGGTCTTTAATAGCAAATAGACGAGAAAGTCGGTAAGTCGAAGCGAGAAGGTAATGAAATCGAGTTGGAGAACTTTGTGAGGACGGGGTTGTGTCAAAATTTTAAGACTGTCGAATTTGCTTTTATTCCAGAGCGACAAGTTTGCATAATAGATAGCAGTCGCTCACATGACATCTAAGTTCTTTCGAAAAAAAAAATTTCTTTCTCATAGTAAAACCAATGAATACTGGAGTTAATAAAAATGAGTGCTACTCTATGTATCAGATTGATAATGTAATATGCGAACACACACTACGGCACAGGATTACGTTTGGCTAGCAAGGTCATAATCATTGGACCTGAGGACAAGTCTGATTTCAGTGACAGAATGTGTATCAACATTCGTAAACTTATTTTTGGTATGGTCGGCAGTGTAACACTAAAAACTTGTGATAGTTTAAAAGAGAGAGCTTCCATAAAATCATCTAAATTTTGATGTCGTTTCAACAGATACATTACTGGGATGAGATAGTCTTCAATAAATGCTGGAAAATTCTTTTTTCTTCGATAATCTCCGACGATTGTGGATAAAATTTCATCGCGTTTCTTACCAATGTACATCAGTTCGCCTGCCTGAACTAAGTCGGACAGGTGTAGCTTTTCTGCACTGACGTGTAGACATGATAAAATTAAATTTACTTCTTCTCTTTGTTTTTGTTGATTCAAATCTAATAATGCAACCCATGCTTTGTTTAAGCCCCTTCTAATTCAGCGGACTGACATGCTCTGCAGATCGAAATTTTCAGTCAAGTTTTAGACTGTTGAACCTATGTGAAGGAGGCTGTCTTGTAGTTCTTTTTTGAAGGGGCAGTTCACAGTTATTCGTATCTCTGCTTACCTTGAATGCAGTGGAAAAAGTGTTCTAATGCATCATTATGATTTGCTTTTAGTTGCACTAGACTTTGATTGATCGACTTTTGAATATCATTCCACATATCGTTGAAAAAGTGTTCGATAATTTTTGTTGGATTTTCAATATAATCCATAAACCATTGTTTGTCGGCTGTAACTAATTTTCCATCACATCGATCTTGTATCCACTTACGGTTTGAACAGTCGTATTGTTGTAACTCGAAATTGATCTTCCTCTGACCCTCTTCGAGTAAACTTTTCAAAATATATTCCTTGACTTGTTTACATAGACTCAATCCAGAATCGACATCAGTCGATGTATTTGGAACAACCATGCTTATAAAATAGGATCGTAGATCGTTTCTACGATCACTTAATGTTGATAATGTTTGGAGAAAGTGATTTTGTTGTTCATTATAATAATATTTTGTTAACAAAACAATAGCGCAAGTATGAAATGTCGATTTCAGTGGTTTGTTCAAAGATAAACCAAACAGATGTAACTCTAAATTAATAGCTTTGATTAAGGTGTTAATGACACCGACTATTTTTTGTATAAGGTCTGTCTGAATTTGACGTGTTTCGTTTACATTATTTCCTCGTGTGGCATTAACTATTGAGTCTATAAGATTTTGAATAAGATTAGACCCTCTCAAACACAATTGAACATCTTGTGCAAAAATTGAAAGAAGACAGTTTAGTCTATGTTTTGATAAGCAAAACTCTTTTCCGAAAATCATTCGAAAGACGAAGATCTTTGGACAACCACTTTGAATCTCCGAAAACTCACTTTTTTCCATAGACAAATAGTCCAGCGTATCCGGTCCAAAATGCGAACTAAACGGACTCTTAATTTGTCCTGGTTCAGGCGTGGCATGGGATTTCTTGAGAGTCCCAGGATTAGTATTTCTTTAGGTGTGGTAATTCCGAAAATAAATGGAAACATAGGTAATCGACCACGTTGAATATTACAGCGATATTTGTTTCTCAAAAAACGTTCAGACACCTATATTAAGTAGAATAACCCATTTTTGCATATTTTCGAGTCAAATTAAAATATTCCTAATCCATTCAAGACCCATTCAAATTATGCCAGAATATCAAGATGGACTCTTACCTACTCATCTCTATGCAGTCCAATAAAAGCTTTCAAAATCAATACAAAATACTTTGATTTTTGAAAAGGTTTTCCACAAACCTTCAGAAGTACAAGAATGTTTTTTACTATTCTCAACCAAAACACGTAATGAGCAGGTAAAACAGGGTCCATCTTGATATTCTGACATAATTTGAATGGATTATGAATATTTTAATTTTACTCGAAAATAGGCAAAAATTGGTTATTCCACCTAATAGAGGTTTTCGAGCATTTGTTGAAAAATAAATAAGGGACTCTCAGGAAATTCCATGCCACGCCTGAAACCAGAAAAGTTAAGAGTTCGCTTAGTTCGCATTTTGGCGAGGATACGTTAGACTATCTATCTATGAAAAAAAACTGATAGATTGCTATCTCAGTTTCCGGAGATCCGAACTGGTTGCTCAAAGATCATCTAAAAAGCCGGTTTAAACATTTTTTCCAAGAGCTCTTCATACTTGTAAAACCATGGCTTCAGATCTCTTCCTGCTATTACTAAAATCCGCAAGTCTCTAGCTCTTTTGGTTCCTGAGCTATTCGAAAGTTACCGAGTGCCTGCGTTTTGGCGCCGATAGTAGGAGTAGAGATGTATTTAGCAAAATATTTTGCAGAATATCTGTGAGTGGTAGCTTTTTAGAAAATCGAGCGCTAACTCTAGTATTTTCTTCAAGATATTTGGTTAAAGTAGATCAGGGCGTCTTCGATCGAGATATTTTGTTAAAATTCAATTTTCGGCTTCTGCTCTCGACGTTAGTGCACAACTATGTGTGTGAATGGTCATACCCCAAGGTACTCTAGTGCCTCTTGTGTTAGTTTTTGCTATTTGTGTATGTTCATGATCTTTTATCGAAATAAATCAGAGCAGATCAATGTTTAACGCTTAGAACCTTAACCAGAACTGAGCAGTATATACATTCTGGAAATTTTTGAGTTTTTCTTTTTTCTTTTTCATGGGTTTATGTGCAAATAAAGTATAAAATCGAACACCAATAATAATTTGCATTTATATAAAGTAAAGTAAACACGCTGGCCGATTAACTTCGTTCAATATACATAAGTGTGGACTTCAAAAAATTTTAAACAATCTCATGATTACTTAAGCAAAGGAGCGTCAGAAGTATGTGAAGAAAGATGCTAATTAAATATAATAAAAACGCAAACAGTCCCTTGGTTTCAAATACATGCAAATTGACTGTTCTGTAAAGATGTTTGTCATAACTCTTTTTCGTTAGAAACAATACTGTATGTTATTCATCATTTTTTGCTAATATCAAGAAAGATATGTATTTTGTCATCAAACTTTTTTCTTTACTATTGTGTTGAAAAGAAATTGGATAAAGAAAAAGGTTAAAATTGAATTAAAAATTAATGTTTCATTTTTAATTAACAGAAAAGCTTAAAACTGAGATGAATTAAAAGAGCTTAATTGTAACAACTTTTTCCTTTAAAATATATATCAGTATTGACTTCTTCAAAATATTAGTAGTATTAATTACGTTACCCTGCTCTCTTTATCGTTGAAGGCATCTGTATTCACTTGAGATACGCTATACAAGAAAGAATAACTTCTAAAATTATTTTCTTTGATTTGTTATTTTTCAGAAAAAAGTCGAGAAAATGGGTGGGAAGCCGGTTTGCATGCAAACTCAATTCAAATATGATTTCATTTCGGGTTCTATGGGTGACGAAAGTCTCGATGCATCGGATATTGATATTATATTGAAAATAGACGATGTTTTATCTGAAGATGATTTGATTCCAACTGAAGAAGCTTTGTTCGTTCGTGTCAAGTGGAGAGAAGGCACATGCCTAATCCCTTATTATGGTTTTGATCGGCAAGGTAATCCATGTATCAATGGTTTTCAAATGAAACAACGGCAGTGTGAAATTGATCAATCAGCTGTAGTATTTAAACAAAATTTACAAGTATCAGTTGATAAGGCGAACGTTTTACTAAAGCCATTGTTTGAGCCTACACCTGTCGCCAACTTAGTAAAAGCATTTCCCGAAACACTCAAATCAATTGAATTGACAATGTCGTCGCCGCAAAAACGAACTCATTTTCGATTATTATACGAAGAAATATTTGACAAACAACTGAAAGGTCATCATTGGAAATCGGACAAAGAGCTATTCCAGTTGCCCATTCTTCTAATGGGATCGGCTTTTGGTTACTCACTGTCGAAACGATACAAACAACAACTGGGAGCATTTATTGATTTCTATTCTCGACATCGGCATTTCGTGAAGGGCGAGTTTTCAACGAAATATCTGCAAGATATCATGGATAAAATATCAAACTATGATTGTGATATTATTTTTGCCATCCGGCTCAACTTTTGGCCGAAGGATTTACAACCATTTCTCAAACGATTTCAGAAAAGTAAACTTGCCGATCGAGTCCATCAAGAAGTGGGACCCAGTAAATGCATGAAGTATGAGAGGTGGACTCTTGGGAAGAAAGTCGAGGCGACATTTCTGCATTTGGTACCCAAGTGGTCTGCGAAGACACCACTAGAGGATCGAGAGTATGAGTTTAGATATTCGTTTTCAGCTATTGAACATCTGATAGCCAAATCCCGATCACCCTCAGAAAGACTGCTTGGTAAAATCGCTCGAAACATTTACAATAAGTATTTAAAAGACGATAAATCCGAAATAACGTCATACTTTGTTAAAACGAGTGTCCTCTGGATGTGTGAAACGACTGAGTTGGATAATGAACCTGAAGTTTTGGCAACTCTATGGATTAGCCACGTGTGCGTTTTGTTAAAGCAAGGTCAATGTTCTCACTACTTTATGGATAGTGTCAACATATTAGAATCATTGACGAAAGAATCGTTTGAAAAAGCCGTTCACATCCTTGAAGGCATTAAAGATTTGAATGACTGCATAAATATGAACGATTCGAAGCCAACTGTGTTTGATGAAAACCTTCATCAAATGGCAGTATTTCGTGATTGGATTGAGCAGATAAAAATTTCTGATCTTTTGTCAGCCCACAAAGATTGGATTCAAATGACACAGCAATTTGGATTTGGAGTAATCGACCAAGTATCTAATCCGTTTGCTAGTTTGGGTTTATTATTTGGATTTGCCATCATAGACGGTCCTGACGGCAGCAACAACGTGTCAGAATGGAAACGCTTGTTTATTGATCGTAATAATTCAGATCAAGACGATGATTTCGTTCGAAACTGGTGCGAGCAACACGAGAAAATGTCGGCAGAAGCCGGTCTTCTCAATAGTTTAATGTTCTCCTGGATGGGCCTTATTACCGTGAATGACTATTTGAATCGGTTGTCTTCGTCAACGACAGATGAATTTTTAACAATAACGCAAAATAATAATTTCGGCTTGTTTATCAGAATTTGCGATGCACTAGGCACATGTAAACTGTTCTCATTAAGAAGAGGTTAGTACATGACAATAGTAATGATTTGATCTCACCGCTAACTATGCGTCTAAGTTCTCTATTAGGTCGTAATAATAGCATTTTCATTCCTCGTCCTAAAATCTGCATCCGGCTCTTTCGTTCCACGTGGCTCAAAGAAATGGAATGCACTTTCTTCTGTTTTAGCACGACAGTCTTCTTTATCCGTATTTAAGCATATGTTAAGAGATCATCTAGAATTTCAATAATCTTTATGTTTAGATCTACTCTTTCTCTTAGAATGTATCACACTTATGTTTTCTCTTACAATGTATGTGTTATAGTAGTGGTTCTTTTTAGAAACTTTTTAGTTTAGGTTATCATGAGGTGTCTTCGGATGCCACAAGTCTTTTTGGTGCTCTTTGTAACATCCTATCTTTGTGTAAAATATTTTCAGTTTAGTAGAGGCGGCGTGAGAAACTATCAGATTAAATCTAGGCGTTTCACAGATAACACTTCCTGTGATATAGTCGGTTTAGCAATAAGTATGATGGAAATAAGTCCTATGTCCAGGCACGGAAGACTTACGGAAGGTCACTTATTGCGTAAAGCACAACTATCGTAAACATGTATTCACCTATTCATCTAGTCTTTTGGAGTTCAGTTTGATGCATTTTTTTATAGTTTCCTAGTAAGCATAAAACACATTCCAAAGTGCAGCAATGGATTAGTTTAGAAATGGATAATGACAAAAGCTGGAGTACCACATTTCTTCTGGACTTGGATTTTAAAATGTTTATTCCTAAATCGGTTGGCTCCACAAATTAGTTCATCAGCCGTACTTTTTGTTGAGAACAAACCGTTTCTTGCAGTAAAAAAACTTTAAATGCATAAGTTGAAAAGTAAAAGCTTTTATTTCTATCTCTATTTTCACCATGTCCATTTTTCCGCTCATCAACACTAATATCTTAAAGGTTGCTCTTTTCCTTTCTTTATTGATCTTAGACGAACTCTTCGCTACAGCTGGTAATACAGTAAAAGAGCTGCTAGAAAATCCACATGTATCGGCTCTTATGTCATCTATTGCTGCACAACGAACCAAAGAAAAAGAAAATGAAGAAGCAATGGACAAAGCAATAAGAGATGATTATCAAGAAGAAGAACAACAATATTTAGATGATTCAATACTTGCTGCAGCTATTCAAGAATCTATAGAACGAGTACAAGAAGAGCATTAGTAGTCGCTGACAATAAATATAATCGAAATTTATTAATACAGTCTTTTTGATTTCGTTACTCACTCCCATCTTGTTTATGATTAGGTATGATATAGGATGCTTCTTTTTGATCTTTTTATCTTTAAATAATCTTTGGTAAAGTTCGTCGTAGAGAATAATAAAAATTTTCAAAACGTATGCTTTATGATATGTCATAAAATAATGACATATACTTTGTTGACAATTTCATGTCCAACAAATGACTTGCCATTTCGTATTCATGACGGCTAGAGACCGATTACACAAACATTTTGGTGATGTTTTTCACCGAGACTATAGATGTAAACAACGCAATTTGGTTATGATAGGTGTAAGATCAAAGTTGAAGGATACATGAAGTTGAGCCTTTCAATCTCTACTTCACCGAATGATCGCGTTCAGCAAGAGTCAGAAAGACTGATGTTTCTTCCTAATTCGGCTATTTGGCATCAAGTTAGTATTGTCAATCAAAAAAGTCG